GCCTTGCCTTTTGCATTTTTTAAACCTTTTCCATGTCAGATTAACCAACAATTAATTGTTTTTTAATTTTGGTTTACATAATTATAAAATGTATAAAGAAAGACAAGTGGAAAATATAATTATTTTATGTACTTAACATAATTAAGTAAAGGGTTCAATTATTTTAGGTGGGTTTCCGTCAAAATCAAAATTCACAGGAGGTTTTGATTGGTATTATAGGTTTTCCCTTATATAAAATATAAAAAAGGAAGAATTCTTTTTTCTTGTCAAGCGGAAATAATATTATTGTGGAGCCATTTGGGAAGTCTGTAAGGACTAATTAAAGAAAGATATGATCAACCTAAGCAGCCGAATGCAAATTTTTCCCCGATTATACTAACATATGATAATTATAGGTTATAGAAAAACTTCACCTCTCATTTCATGGGAGATAAGTAAGGTTATAAAGTGGCATACATGCCAATACAATTAGGGATTGTGTGGTCACAATTCATTCCTATAACATATGGTTTTCACATACTAACATTTGCCTTTTATCCCTCCTACTTTATTATTATTATTTTTTTTTTATAAATCTTGATGCCAACCACAGCTAATGGAACCGTGAGCACCCTTACCCTTATCTGAGATGGTGGGGGAGGGTTATGGAAATTGTACCCAAACACCCCCTTGAATGGTAACAGGGCGGGTGGGGCGGGGCTGGTTTTTGCATATCTTGTACCTGACACTGAACACATGTACCCTGCCTCATACCCTGATGGTGCTGGGAATCCCAGCCCCTCCATCCCTAATCCCTATGGGAATAGGAACCCTAAATTTGCCCCACCCCACCCTAGCATGGTTTTTATTTATTTATTTGATAAGTTATCATATTGAAATTTAACGATTTTTTTTTTTATAAATTCTTCTAAAAGTCATTATATCTTTATATCTTAAAGGATATGTTTTTTTTAATCTTAAAGGGTATGTGGCCATTTGGTTTATCAAGTAACTATGTATGTATGTATGTATATATATAGGGCAGGTTTGGGGCCAGGCTTAGGGCGGGATAGATAAATATCACCCTGACCCCTTCTTCGGTCACCTGATGAGTTTCCAAAACCCACCCTCACTCCACTCAACAGTTGTAAAATCCATGCTCCGCCCTAACAGGGGGCAGGTCAAATTGCCATCCCTACGACCCTAATCCCCTGAGGATCCTTGTGGGCATCATTTGTTTTTTTATGAAATAGGCATTGATGAAACTGGATTCAGTCGGTGCAATCTCGTTCCAACAGCCAATATAGCCTTGCATTGAGAATATCTCCCCATAAAATAAAGCACAGAAATATGGAAATGTTCCCAATGCAAGACTGTTTAAACGGCCTTGCACTGACCGAAGTCGATCTCAGCATTGATATGATTCCTTTGTACGCTTATCCACAAAAACCTTGATACAATTATTTCAGTTTTGTTCCAAAATCATAATATTATTTTTTCTGCTAGAAATAAAACAAGGTAATTATCCTAATTCCACTCTAACAGTTTAACATGTGGAATCATGAGTGAAGAATTTGATTTTTTTTGGATAGTTTCTTTTTACTAAAATCCTCCCCTGTAATTTTGAAAAAAAAACTGCAATTACCTCCCTTTCCGTCATTGTCCTAATAACAATAAAAAAAACTTTGAATTTATAAAATTATCCTTACTACTAGCTAGGGCATCTTTTTACATAATCCAAAATGTCATATTTGCCCTTATAGACTTTACTCCACTTAACGAATTTATAGAGGCTCAGTTTGGAAGGAGTATAAATATAAATATATAGAATGAAAAACCTTTATGTTTTGTATTATTTTATATGTATTTACACTCCATATATTGATATTTGTAATCCTTCCAAAGAGAGTCAGAGTAAAAATTATTTTACTCTTTTCAATTTGACCCAAGAAACGTTTTTAGTCAAACCTTAAAAATTCATTCGAGGTATTTTAAGCTCAGTTTGAAAAAAGTATAAATACAAATATATAGTGTAAGTATATAGAAAACAATACAAAATACAAGGGTTTATAATCCACAAATTTATATTTGTACTTCTTCAAAAAATTAATGCATTAAGCTAACGTTTTGATTTGGGACAATAATGAAAAGGAGGTGATGAGGGCAGATTTAGCCCTTCAATAATATTGTGACACATGGTACCTCAAAACAACTAGGTGACACCCAAAACCACTTTGGCAACAACTTGCCTTAGCCAAGTTGATAGTGTCCCACCTGGCGGCCTAGCAGCCTGGCCCAGGCGCGGCCTGGCCCAGGCGCGGCCTGGCCCAGGCGTGGCTTGGCATAGGCATGACCTGGCACAGGCACGACCTGGTACAAGCACGACCCGGCATAGGCATGAGCTGGAAGCCTGGCATAGGCATGAGCTGGCAGCCTGGCATAGGCGCAACCTGGCACAAGCATGCGCTGGCACAGACACGAGCTGGCACAGGCGCGACCTGGCACAGGCACGACCTGGCACAGGCGTGACCTGGCACAAGCACGAGCTGGCAACCTGGCCCAGGCACCGACCTGGCGACTTACAAGACGTGCTCGCCGACAAACAATCCTTGGAAGTTGGCCCACGTGCCGAACGATCCGGAGGGTGATCAACGTGCATGGCGGTTACCTCCAGGAATCTCGAACCACTTAGACGACCTCGCAGAAATCTCAGATATGGTGCGTGAAGCCCACGCCAAACAATGCCTATATAAAGGCACCAACCCCAAGGGCAAGAGAGAGGGCAAGTAAGCAAGTAAGCAAGTTCTAGCTCTCAAGCTTTGTGATTTTTAGCTCGTAGTCTACTATGAGAGTACTGACTTAAGCATCGGAGCGACCTCGCCGGGTTAGCCACCCCGGTTTCTCTGACATTTGGTTTCTTGCAGGACTCTAAAGAGCAAGAAAGCTCGTCACCTAACCTGCCCATCTCGGCACCTGGTCAGTTCGGCACCTGCCCGACACCTGGTCAGTTTGGCACCTACCCGGCATCTCACGGGCAGCTCGGCATCATGCAGCTCGGCACTAGGCAACTTGCCCATAGACAGTTTGCCACTAGATAGCTCACCACCAAGCAGCTCATCAAGGTAGTTCGCCACTAGGCAGTTCACCACCAGGGAACTCACCACCAGGCAGTTCGCCACTAGGTAGCTCGCCACTAGACAACTCGCCACTAGGGAGCTCCACTTCAGCCTCTATGTCCCACTTGGCGGCTTGGCATAGGCGCGGCCTGGCACAGGCGCGACCTGGCACATTCACGAGCTGGTAGCCTGGCATAGGCACGAGCTGGTAGCCTAGCACAGGCACGAGCTGGCAGCCTGGCACAGGCGCGAGCTGGAAGCCTGGCACAGGCGCGACCTGGCACAAGCACGACCTGGCACAAGCATGAGTTGACAACCTGGCCCAGGCACCGACCTGGCGACGTGTAGAACGATCCGGAGGGTGGTCAACGTGCATGGTGCGTGAAGCCTACGCCAAACAATGCCTATATAAAGGCACCAACCCCAAGGGCAAGTAAGCAAGTTCTAGCTCTCAGACTTTGTGAGTTTTAGCTCACAGTCTACTATGAGAGTACTGACTTAAGCATCGGAGCGACCTCGCCGGGTTAGCCACCCTGGGTCCTCTGACATTTGGTTCCTTGTAGGACTCTAAAGAGCAAGAAAGCTCGTCACCTAACCTGCCCAGCTCGGCACCTGGTCAGTTCGGCACCTACCCGGCATCTCATAGGCAGTTTGGCACCATGCAGCTCGCCACTAGGCAGCTCGCCACCAGGCAGCTCGGCACTAGGCAGCTTGCCACTAGGCAGCTCGCCACCAGGCAGCTTGACACTAGGCAGCTCGCCACTAGGCAGCTCGCCCATAGGCAAATCACCACCAGATAGCTCACCACCAAGCAGCTCATCAAGGTAGTTCGTCACCAGGTAGTTCACCACCAGGGATCTCACCACCAGGCAGTTCGTCACTAGGTAGCTCGCCACTAGGCAACTCGCCACTAAGGAGCTCTACTTCAGCCTTTGAATCACAAGCCACTTGGGAGCATACGTCATTGACAAAGTACTTGGACAAAAAAATTTGATACATCACATGATCAGAAATAGTTACATCAGGTGGTAATTCATAATTACCAGTTTTTATTCAAATCAAACCTCAGGAGGGATTTTATGATGGTCGGAAGGAAAAGTTTGTATATTTTACTTTTTATTTTTTCTTTATTTGAAAGATTAAAAATCGAGGAAATAGTTTGGGGCTGAGAAGTTAGTTAACTGTATTTGTTTCAGTCGGAATCCTTGGGGAAATTGGAGGATACTCGACAATATATGATGCTACTGCACCACCCAAACTGTAGAAGATGTTGAGTCACTGAGGTAAAGGTCTGAGGACTAGGTGGGAGCAAAATACACATGTTTGCATGTTTATTGTTGATGCATTTCTGTGATTTTTAGATGACTTTTTTTTTTTTTAACAATTATATTATATCCTGGAAAGCAGTCTGGATACTGAGACCAATCACACCATGACGGCTGCAGACTGCAGGGAGGGGAAGTCATCACTCATCTTCAGAAATTTTGAAGTGGATTTGCAATAAATGGCTGTTATCACTAAACTGGAAAAAGCTATATATATTATATAATTTCCTCTCATTAAAGAAAAATAACATCATCGTTCATGGCATCCAAAGTTTAATTCCATTGGCATTTGGCAATAGAGATGAAATTATGGAAATCTCGTGTCTTATTCTTATTAACATTATCTTATAATCCTATTTAATTAATTAATTGGTCACCTTCGACCAAAAAAAACTCGCCTTCCCCCTTACATATTCATCTTCGAGCTGGAGCCTGGAGGGAGTAACAAAGAGATGGATAAATACTAGAGAGAGAAAGTGATTGATTAGACCAGTCAAATGCACCGAAGGGTTTCGTGGACTTACGTGACATATTAGCAAATCGTGTCTCCTCTGTCCTCTCTCTCTCTCTCTCTCTCTCTCTCTCTCTCTCTCTCTGTTTATTAGTTTATATAAGCCTGCGGCCTGCCTACTTTGTCTCAGAGAAACTCAGACCCATTTTCCTAGGTCGCTAGCTAGGAGCGAGCTAATCTTGCAGCGAGAAAAAAGAAAGCTTGGCGCAAATCACCTCCCTCTCTTGCGCTTCAAATCGTCTTTCGATCAATTCTAAGCTCCGCCAGATGGCAGCCTTTTCATACCAACAGCCCACTTTTCTTCTCGACTCGGCTATGCTTCCAAATTCTCCCGTCAAGATGCCTGGACTTTTCGAGTTTGGCCTTGGCCTTGGCCTTGGAGACATCAACGCCACCTGTTTTCCTTATTTTCCACCTCAACCTCTCCCTGAATCTTCCATTGATAATCTGGACACCAGCAAAAACGTCATTCTTAGTGATAATGAACCTTCCATGACTCAGAAACAAAGGTCCTATTCTTCATCCTTGGTCGTGGGTCTTGAAAGTGGCGATCAGGTCACTCAGGACGAGACCCAGAAAATGGACAAGAGGAAGAAGAAGAAGAACGGAGATGGGTCCTGCTCGAATTTCGCTGAATCGTCCAAGGTAAAACTAATTAAATTTGTGCTTGAATTGAACGCTATCGATCGATGTTCGAATCCTAATATTGTGCTGAGTTCGTTTGACATTTGATGTATCGGTTGGGTTGATTAGGATGTAAGAGAAGGCAAAAGCAAGAGACAGAGAAAATGCAGTAGTGCCTCCAAAGATGCAGAAGAAGATAAGCGCAGAGCTGATAAGAAAGTCGGTGAAGAGGCTCCAACTGGCTACATTCATGTGAGAGCGAGGAGAGGTCAAGCAACAGATAGCCACAGCCTTGCAGAAAGGGTACCTAATTATAACTTGTTCATAGGGTCCAACTTCCAATTCTTGCTTGTTAATTTATATTTCTCAATTATATATGGTTCTCTGCGAAATGGATTTTCAGGTAAGAAGAGAGAAAATCAGTGAGAGGATGAAGATGTTGCAAGGTCTTGTTCCTGGTTGTGACAAGGTGAAATTTAGCTCTCTCTCTCTAGCTAGTCATTCTCAGTTATCCTTGACTAAACAATCGTTTTCTTCTTATCTGGGGACTAGGATAAAATTACTTCTGAGTTATTGACTGTTTCATGTTCTACCTGCAGATAACTGGCAAGGCCCATATGTTGGACGAGATAATCAACTATGTGCGGTCCCTACAGAGTCAAGTTGAGGTATCTATCTATCTATATAAAGATAGAATTAGAGATTGGAATAGCTTTTCTTTGGCTTCTTTTATTATCTTTTGCAAATAAAATAAAATTTGACTGGGTACATTTGGATTTACTCATTTTACGTCTGCAGTTCCTCTCCATGAAGCTTGCGTCGGCGAGTCCAATTTTCTATGATTTTGGAGCGGATTTAGATGCCTCCCTGCCAAAACCACCAGTGGTATATATATTTGAAACTTGAAAGCCTCCCCCACCCGGCACCCCCAAGTTTCACTTCCACAGTTCCATGTCAATCAATATATAGTTAATTCTTTTCAGTTTTCATTGCTGTAACTGTATATCCCTAACTAATGACTGACTGATTGATTTCTTTGCTTCTAACATGAAATTTCAGAACTTGGCGCCACCACCAACAACGCAATCTACGCAAGCATCCTGCGCTTCTGAGCCCACGGCTTTTATGGATTCCACTACTAGTTTCAGCACTAGAAATAACTACCCTATCCTGGACAGTTCCATTGCAGCTGGTTTCCTTGAGCAAGGACAGAGGCCTAATGCCGATGCCTTCCCTCAGGTATATATATATATATTAATACTCGTTATATAATTTAAGCCACATATGATATATAGAGATTTTAAGAAAATGTGCTGACTTTCACAATGCGTTTTCTCCAGAAGAATGGAAATTTATTATGGGATGTGGAGAATCAGATACGAAGCTTTAATCATCAATCCAACTTCAACACCTTTTGTTCTTTCCAGTAAAACATACATCTGGTAATTAAGCCCTTAAAGTCTACAAATAAAAAACACTAGATGCATTAAGTTACTTATTTCTGAGTACTCCTTTGTTCTGATTTGAATTGATTTGTCCTTACAGAGCAACAGCAGTAACATTAGAAGAACGTCACACTACTTCAAAGCTTTCAGCTGCTTGGTAAAAAGTTGTGACGAATTGGCTTCTTCGGTGATTAACATTGTAGTCGCTGAAGATCCAAGTTCAGTCGGTCGATGATGAATGGGGGATGCATGAATCTCATAATAAAGTCGACAGCAGAAGGCAAGGAAACAGGATGGAACATATATATACAACGTTGATATGAAAAAAGATCTCTTGTTGTCGATTTGACCGCCCAATTCTGAATCATCTGCTGGTTTACTTAGACATTGAATGTAGAAATTATGTAATAGTTAAAAAACATCAAACCCATGTGAAATTGTCTTCGTTACTTTTGTAATTTATTGTAATTACCATTTACCATTTTCTTTTTTTAATTTCTCTATCTTCCTTTTCTCTGGCAACTATTTGTGTTCGCGACACGCGAGACGTGAAGGAATGAAAGGTTGTTGCAATCCTCCATAGTCTCTTTTGCTCTAGTTATTTTGTTTTAACTTTTAAGGGTTATTATTAATTGTTGATTTGACTGTTTGTCCTGTTATCATGTATGCTTCGCTACTGTTTGTCCGGTCTGAGCAGATCCGGTCTCACAGTCGAGTTAAAGACCCCTGTCTACCTGTGTAAGTGTAATGTAACGGTAGTTGACAGAGCATCTCGTAGGAAATTTAACACTTCGAATCCTCTACGGGAACCGGAGGGCACTATACCAATAATGATCACCCTGACATGTGGGATCCACGTGCCTGTCTCTATGGTATTGCTAAAACCGACCACCATTAAAATTTTAGATGATTTGAAAGTTTTTTACCAATAATCCAAGCGTCAGAATTTGTAGGTTCAAATGTACATTTCATTTGGAGTAGGTGTCGGCTTTAAATTGATGCCAATTCAATTCAGGGCGGGTGAATGTGGTTTTTAGAACTTTTGAATGTTTATAATTTTACAGTGAAAATAAAAAGTTTTTTATTTTCACTGTTCGTACTTTTCAAAATTTTTTAAGGACTTTTGCATTTCACCAAAGAATTCAGATTTAAACTGCATATTTAGAACAATTCAACTTTATAAATACCTCCACCTATAACACCCATACTCATCTTAAAAAGAAGGATTTTTACTGATCAGTCCACCTCTGAAATCCTAGCTCCATTGTATCAATAAAGATAACTAACGAGAGCATCAAGGAAGAAACTTCAAATATATTTCTTTAGACACAGGAGAAAAAAAAAAACTTATGCAACCAATATAAGTGAGACATCAATAGAAGAAACAATTGAGGGTATCTCCAATCACCGAAAGTGAGGGATAAACATCGTAAAGGGAAAGACAGAAAATCCGAAAAATCATGAAAATAGGAGCAGGGGGACAGGGATGCAAAATATAAATGAAATATGGATGGATTCATAGGGGGGCAACCATTGAAATGGAGAGTGGAGAGAGGGGAAAATTTACAATGGAAAACTGTATTACATTTGGGATTTTCTGAACCATAGGCATGACTCCCCTCGGTTCCCCTGGCTCCGCCCCTGCATGAGAGGTGAAAAGTAACAGCCACCAAAGAACTATTATTGGCACCAAGAAATTGGAACCACGCGAAACTGTGAATGCTGGTGAAATATAGTCGGGAAACAGCTACCGACGGTGGAAGTCAAAGTAGTGATGATGGCCACCGCCCAATACCAAAATCATCAAGAGTCAGCTGCTTGTATCAGAATCCATGCAAAAAGAACAAAAAGAGAAAACAAAAAAAGAAGGAGAAGAACGAGTTAGAGAACGAGAAATGGAACGGAGGAGAGAGAGAAGTGAGGAAAAGGGAAAAGGGGAGAAGAACAGAGAAAAGAGAAAAGAGGGAGAGAGGGAAGAAAAAACATTGGAGAGGAGTAGCTCTTCTAGAGGAATCACCCCAAAATCAACCGATAATAGAAGAAGGACGATGAAAAGAAACCCGAGAAAATTCCGAGAATGAGACTCTCTGAGCAGAGAGAGGAAATCTCTAGAAACCCATAAGACAATCGCGATTTGAAAGTTAAAACCAGAAATCTATGTATTCCAACATCTGGGTTTGATCTAGTGTGGCAAGCGGAATTTTTTATTTTTTATTTTTTTGCTTCTTTGAGAAGAGCAAACGGATATCGGATTTATCTATATTCAAATCAGAATACAATGTGTTATTTAGATAGGATGTTTTTTTAAAAGCCTTAGGCAAAGTTGATTCGTAAAATGCTCAAATTACAAAGCAATTAATAAACGCATACAACAAGAAAAGAAAAGTGAAGAAAATAATTAATTTCAGAAAAAAGCCAAACCAACTTGATTAGAAAGAAAAGTAATCATAAACATCGGGAGAAATCAACTCAAGAAAATCTCCAATTGATTGAGGTAAGAATGAAAACAGATAGGTTTGGATTCGAATGAGCAGATCTGAATCTGATCTGATAATATAAATCCTATATTTCGTCTGATAGATTCAATCGGATTTTATAGGGGTTAATTTGAATTTGAATCCGTAAAGATATTGGATATCCGGTTTAACTTTTTTAAAATTTAATAAGTTATTAAAAGGAAAAAATATAACAGTATGTATATATATATATATATATAAATGAATTATGAGTCTATTTAATTTAGAAGAATAAGAGCCTAGAATTCAAATTCTAGCTGTTTGATTAAGTAAAATGGGATTCTAATTCTAATTTTTGGTGGAATGAATTCTCCTATTTGAGAGAGTGATCGTTCTGGGTGGGTTCCTCTCTTGGCAATGGTAATTTCATTCTAGCCAGCAAAATAAGTAAATAAATGAATAAAAATGCAAAAAAAAAGTCACTTAAAAACCCCAAAACCTATTTCTCTTTACCCAATGCCAATCTTTCTTGGGATTTGTACATAGTTTTATGGAATCTGATTGTAATTCTAGGGGATTTGGATTCCTATTCCAATCTTGACTCTGACCTCGAATGTAATGGACCCTAAAAATGATTTGAGTATGGTGTTTGATGAATTAAAATGAATGGAAAAAAATTCGGAAACTTGAAACCTATGTATAACATTCAAGTAAATAAGTTTCAAAATCCCCCTCCCGGCCCCAAAGGCAACTCCTTAAACCTAACTGCTTTTACTGTTATTTTCAATGTCTAATACTACTTATTAGGATGATGATAATATAAACCATACATACTCGTTTGAGTGAAAAGTTGAAAATATAACCGACACAATTTTCAGGCGAGAGGGTGTTGGCCAACATGGTTGGCTTTGTTTTTGAAAATAAAGAACAAATGCCATCTTAACTAAACTAAATATAATTTTGCTAATGTCGCACTTGTTTTGTTTTCAAAAATAAAAAACCCACCATATTGTCGAACACCCCCTAAGCAAATACAATATGAGTTACACTTCGCACAATTGATATACAGAGGCTATTTAGGTCCTTTTGCATGGAACCATGCTATAGCGAGTGCCTCTCTTTCATAGTCATACACTTTTTATCACTCATTAACCATTAATCGGTTCTAAAATAGGGTAGGAACTGTTTGGTTTGCATTTGGAATTGGAATTGGAATTGGAATTGGAATTGGAATTAGAATAGTCTATTCTCATAGCCTATTTGGTTTAGATGGAAGTCAAAATCAAAATGAAAATGGACCGGAGTGGTATCTCATTCCCAAAGAAAAGAGAGGGAATGCCCATTTCCTCATAGGGGAATGCTATTTCACCAGGAATGGAAATCAAATTCCAATCCTATTCAACCAAACAGTTAGAATGGAAATAATAAATCCAAAACCTTATTGCTGCAAACCACACAGGTCCTAATAATTGTCAAATCTCTTGCAGGTGAGTTACCCATAACCAATTAACATGATCGGAACAGTTGATATGAAAGCACTTTCTTAAAAGCTGACCTCAATCAAAGGTTTTCGCATCATCCCAAAGTTGAAAGCCTGTTTTTCAAATAGTTACATTGGGCTAAAATGATAGATGGATTCACCTGAAAATAGAGGACATTCGGGACCTAGTCTTGCTGGCCAACAACTACTCCAACTCTATAAACATATGAGAGAGAGAGAGAGATTGGTTGGTGACTTGTGTGTTCCCCATCTAGCATTTGAATGGGTCAGTTGGTCTGCATTAAAATCCAAATGAAAACAGTTGAACCCTACCATAGCAGAAACTTGGTCAGTTCCAAGGAGTATGAGAGTAAAATGATAAAGATTGCCGTCTTAGAGGCCCAATCTAACCAACCCTTTTGCATGTAAACGGATAATCTGGAAGGTGGATGAGGTTTAGAATTGCCACATGCTTGGCCCAACCTAATTACATGATTTTTTTGATGCATTACATAATGATAATGGCTCCTCAACTCAATGACTTATTATGCTATCTTTTAATTGATAAAAATACTGCAACAAAAAATGTTTTAGATATAACATATCAACCATTATGGAACTTATTATAACCTACTTAATCAATTTCAACCCATTTAATTTAGTTCAGCCATATCAGCCATTAATTGTCCTTAAAATTAAGAGGCATCTTTTCAGACACCACTTTTTCTTGTTCAACAGCCTTTTATTAAACTGGCAGGGTACATGGGTTGATTATGGCTTGTTTGAATTAATTGTCAAGATGCCTTTATTTTCGTAGATTCAACTTTTATTTTCATTTTATCTGTATTTAATTATTTCACAGTCGTAACATGAACATAAAATTTTCAAGCTGAAATGTTTCAGTGGACCATCTTGCTATCTATCTATCTATATATAGAAGAGGATTACTTGTTTCATTTAATATAACAACCTGATCAACAAATTATTATTATTATTATTATTATTATTATTATTATTATTATTATTATTATTAATTATTGTTATTGTTGTTGTTTGAATGGATTGAACCCATATTGGGATCCAAGAGAGAGATCAATAAAATCTTTTCTTCTACCATAAAGCTAGGGTTTGGAAGGCACATATGGAAACTGAATATAGGTTTGGAAACCCCATAACTTGCCACTTATTCCATATATATATATATATTGGAACCTACCATCAGAAGGACCCTACGTGAACATCAATTGGGCCAAAAATCACCATTTTATGTTGCAGAATAGTAAATCCAACACATAAATCGATTGACAAATGGAGAAAACAAAAAAGAAACATAAAAAAGAGCACTTGAGAATATACACAGAGATTCACATGGTTTAGCTTATAATTTATATCTAAGGGCATCAAAGAAGAAAAAAATCTAATATATAAACAATAGAGATTACAATCATAATGCTATACAGTTTCCCTTACCAAACCTCTTAGCTCTGAGTTCACCTAAACACCCTATTTCATTTTGTCTCACACTCTTACAAGATAACTTCTTACACAACATATAATAATGAGAAACAACCCCATAGAGTCCATATTTGGATTGGATCCAAGTATAAAAACGGGTGAGGTCAAGCAGGTCACAACTAAAA